TAGCTAAAGCATCAACCTTCTTATTTTCTGTCCTAGGTACATGTTGAATAGCACATCACCGACCCATCCCATTAATTTCTTAAGCATATTCATAATATGAGCGTAGTTCAGGTTTCTGACCTCGTAAGTACCTAAAAGCTGGTTGATCACCCAACTACGATCACCAAAGACTAGCAATTGCACGCCGCTTTATTCAAAATAGCCATTTCAAGCCCATTGTGCTTGATATTCAGCAACATTTTGGAGAAAAATTGTGTCAACGTAAGGAGTAAGGCAGAACCTCCTTTGAGGAGTGCAAATACTACGCCAACACCACACTCTTCGCAATATGAACGCACATCAAAAAACATTTCCCATGGAGGTTGTACTTCAACGACCATTGCGTCCTCATCTAGTAGTTCGTCCGTTAGCTCACAATCATCAGGTATGCGGGTGATCTGCCAGAAGTTCTGCTAAGGCATTGCCTTTTATAGCCTTTTGAGGGATGTACACAATTTCAAATTGTTGAAACTGGAGGTACTACCTGCTCATCGATCACTAAAGACAGGTTTTGACGATCACGAAGCTTGATGGGATTTGCTCTAGAAAAAAGACGGAACGATATGAGCTTTGAAAAGTAGTGCTTCAACGTTTGGATTGATAGTGCAAAATCATAACTTTGGTAATCATTGGTGTCACGATCTCTCAAGTAGTAAAAGGGACCTTTTCTTTCCCTTTCAAATGTTTCGTTGGCCACAGTGTCCAACAGACCTTTTTGTGCTGAAAATATTATAAGCTCAACAACTTATTCAGTATAGGGGCTGCCAAACTGGGCTTAATCAAGTACAGTTTTGATGTTTTTCAAAGTCATTCTCCAGCTTGGTGCCTAACTTGAACCAAGGAACGCCTTTCTCTTCATGAAGACGACTGAATGGTTGGGCACCTCCCAGCATGGTTTGAGGAGAATTTTATGCTACTTTCGTTGCAGACTATATTTCCAATTCATAAATATTGCGGAGGCTCAATCATTTAAATGGCATCCTACTTTGCTGATCAATTTTATCCCTCGGCATGTGGACAATTAAATCAAGGGAATTTCCAGAAAGTAACTCCAAAGGCCACATTGCAATGGATTCATCCTAATTGGTAACCGCTCACGGAGCATTCAAACACCATTCTTCAAGTCTTCCAAGTGGTTTGCCCATTCTTTCTTTCGATTTTACTCCAGTCACTCACATACGCGTTCGACATTTCCTTGGAGAAGGTCACTCCAGAGTATTCTGCACATCCCTCTTGGTAGTAGCACCAGCGTTCTTTAATTCAAAAGCATACCTTGTAGGCAATAAATACCCTTGGGGTGCAGGAATGCAGTAAGGATCTCTTCAATCTTGTTGTGCCATGCCGAAATTGGTTATAGCCCAACGAACCGTCCATGGATAAGACATTGCCTCATAACCATGTAATAGTATCGATTAAGTCAACTCTGAATAGGAAGCGGGAATTCATCTTTGGGACACACATTGTTGACGATCCCGAAGTCAATGCACACCAAATCTGGCATTCTCTTCATTACAGGGACAATACTTGAGACACATTTGGTATTTAATTCGCTGAGAATGAGCCAACTTCAATGAGTTGTTAACTTCACTTTCAATCAAGGGAACTAAGTCCGACCTAAAGCGTCTTTTTGAGCTTGGCTTAACAGGACGAGCGCCATTCTTGGCCGCAAGGTGATGGACTACTACTTTAGGGTCCAAGCCAAGATCTATTGTAACTCCAAGCAAAGGACAATCCCTTAAACTCTTGAGTAACTCCATATAAGTTCTTTCTTCATTGGCTGCTAGAAAGCACTTAGATTAGTGGGCCTCAATTCTTCATCAGTGTCAGGTTTACTGGTTTCAAAGTGTCCTATTGGCTTTTACCCTTCTTTCAAGTTCAGGCGGAGCATCTTTGCATCTCATCTTCTTGAAGGTCTCCATCATTGAAGGAATATGTGATAACATGGTGAAACATTTCTCGAATTTTCATCCATCGCCTCTATTAGAGATGAAATACATACTTGCTTTTGTGTATAAAGTTGATACGAAGACCCACACTTTTCTCATCTTCTCACATTCGCTAGTGTTAGACACAGTATTGGCTTTAACCTTCAGTAATTTTCTTTACATGAAATCACAAGTTTTTTGATCGCCTTCTTGTCTAGAAGGAAATAGACTTTGGAAATCCTTAGAGATCTTCATGAATTTTTGGGCCGATAAGTGGTTGTTCTTGTATTTTGATATTTCTCTGGAACTTGTTCCTTCTTCCTTTAATGGACCCAATCTCTCAAATACGGAAGTCCTCACAGTTGATTTTCAAGTCGATCAAAGAGATGAAGGCTTGTTAGCAAGCTGGCAGATTTCATCTTCTACAGTTGATATAATTGTGCTCGCGCCTTCTTAATGGAGATGTGCACTGGTGACGGTTTGCTTGTATTCCAAAACCCTCACGTGGTTGTCTCTCGTAGAGCTTAGGATGGGCATCTTCCCTAATTTTGATGCCATTGGATTATATCCAACTTTGCAAAATACCTGTAAGCATAGGATTATAAGCCTTTATCTGTATTGCTTTTGTAGGAGCGCGCACATTTTGCAATGAATTTGGGCCACAAACTTGCAAAGCGGCACTTTAACTCTCTAATTTATTTGACCGGAGATTATAACCCCCTTTTGCAATGTTAATTTGGAGATCTAGATGATTCACCTTTCATTTTCTCGTTTTAGGCTATATGGAGCTCCAGGAGGTTAACTTTCTTGCCGTAAGATGCAAATACTCCCCTCTATAAATTTATTCGAGTAAGGTTTACCTTCCTCGATAATAGCTTTGGTTTGGCCAGCAGTCACCTCATCTCTTTTAGAATTGTGGGCTTCTCATTCTTGCTTTCTCATGAACATCATCAGCTGTTAGCTCCTTCACAATGCGGTTCTTTCAAGAGAACGTTTTGCATCGGACAAGTGTGACTTAGCCTCAGTAATGGCTCTTCCTCAAGCAACTATCTTCTTCTCGACTTCACCTCTCGTAGTTTCAAACATTATGCGTAAGGTAGATGGAACACTTCCAATCATATTACCAAGGCCTTCCAAAGCAAGACATTGTATGAAGTCTTTTCCATCAAATCAATGCAGCCATGCCACTTGAATTGCATATGGCTCTTTATATTTCGGCCTTGCGATCAAGCGTTGGAGTCTCCTTGGGTCGGCATTCTCGACCCCCAAATAGTCACACAAATACTCCCTGCCCAGTGGCACATCTTTTCCTCTTACATATGAAGTGCACCGTTTGATATCCCAGTTTGCATACAGTTCTCGAACCATGCTCAGGTTGGCATGCCCCGGGCAGTCCAAGAACTTGGTCATCTTTAGAGCTTGCAGCCTGTCAAGTATCTCCGGGAATTTCCTCTCTAAGGCTTCGGTGTTAATCCCCATCTCAGAAATATATAGCCCAGACGGCACGAAGTCCCTGTGCCATGCAATAGCCTCATCATCGATCAAATTCAAACGAGGCCTCCTCGTTGGCATGGGCTGAGATCCTTCGGCGACCTGCTTGCCTTTGGGCTGCCATGAAGAGCTTTCACCTTGCTTGCACTTTTTGGTCGCTGGAGAGGTGGTGGAGGGCTTTCCAATGCTTTTGCCTTTTCTAGTGCTATCACGAGCCATAGTATCCTTCAACACAAGTAAACATGAATGTGAGAATGGTTCAAGAAATATGCCTAAGGTTGTCGTGCAAGTCATGAAATGACCCCACACTTAAAATCGAAGGCACAAGTGCAAGTGTTTGCACCTCAAAGCTATGGGTACTCAAGAATTCCCCATGCTACACAATAAAGAGTGATCATGGCAACGTGAATTCTCAATAAAGTAAGCAAAAGGCATAAGGAATGCACCTGTCACAAATACTAGACTATACTAAATTAGGCTAACTTAGAAGATTCTACAACATACAACATACAAAAGCAATGATGTAAGAACATGTTCTTTATCAAAAGCACATCCCCTAGCATGTAAAAGTGTCCCTATACACCCCACACTGAGCCCGAATGTATACACAAGTTTATCCGGTTACTCAGACTTCACCGGGTACCAACAATCCTCTTTCAAACATTTAAACAAACACAATGTAGGCATGAAGTTTGTTCTTATAGTTCATCAATGGTGGAACATGGTGGCCCTCCCAATTTTCAATGAAGTAGAGGGAATTCTAGTTTACTACTCCGTATACACATCAAACACACAATTTTCGACCACAACACATCACCCACCATAAATTTTCATAAGAACTACATGGGAAAGACTATGGGGAATTAGAGCTCTTGGGAATGGTATTATTTGTTATCTACTAGTTAAAACACACAAGGAATAGATGAGAAGGAGAATAACATACCTGGAGAAAGGTTGCAAGAAAGAGAAAAGAAGGATTTTTTGGTGAAAATTTGCGTGAAGAAGAAGAAGAGGACGCGGGCAGAGTAGTAGCATTTTTCTTTTTTTTTTTTTTTTTTTGTTGCCTCAGGTTTTTAAATTTCTTGGGTTGTTTGTGTTTGGGTGGGTTTGGGAGAAGGGATATGGGTTGTAGTGTATTTGGGTATATGGGTTGGGTTAAATGGGTATGGGTTAGAGTATAAACTAAATAACGAGAGAAAAAAAACTTTTATACTTACCTGACCTGCCAGCTGGGTGCCTGGCGCTCTATGTAGCGCTGCATTTTTGGAGTATACTGTTTTTGGCGCCCTAGGCAGCACTGGGCGCTGGCCTGGGCGTTGTTCACGTTAATTTTTTTTTTGAACAAACATCCCGATCCCTCGAGCCTTATACATACCCAATTTACACATCCTACACCATTAAATTTCTACACCTATAAAGAAATTGCGATACTCTACCTATTCTAAAAGAAAAATTAAGAAGTTAAGCTAGGAAAGCAATAAAAATTGGGTTGCCTCCCAACAAGCGCCTGATTTAACGTCGCGGCACGACGCAGAGTCTCGCTTACTAATCAGCGAGTACAACCTTGGTCTTCTCACAATTAATCATTCCTCCCCAATAATGCTTGACTCTATGACCATTCACCAAAAATTTCCTTTCGCCATTTAAAGCTCGCAGCTCGATTGCACCATAAGGAGTAACTCTCACCACCTCAAACGGACTTGACCATCTCGACTTTAGCTTCCTAGGGAACAACCGTAGTCTAGAATTGAATAGCAATACTTGTTGGCCTGGCTCAAAGTGACACGGCTTGATATGCTTGTCATGCCATCTTTTTGTCTTTTCTTTATATAGCTTAGCATTTTCATAAGAGTGCAACCTGAACTCATCTAATTCATTCAACTGCATAAGTCTTTTCTCACCTGCGGCTTCAAGGTCCATGTTCAGCTTCTTAATGGCCCAGTATGCTTTGTGTTCAAGCTCAACGGGCAGGTGGCATGCCTTCCCATAGACCAGCTTGTAAGGGGACGCTCCAATTGGCGTTTTATATGTAGTTCTATATGCCCATAGAGCATCATCCAACTTTGCAGCCCAATCCTTCCTATTCACACTCACTGTCTTCTCCAATATTTGCTTGATTTCTCTGTTTGACACCTCAGCTTGCCCACTTGTTTGTGGATGATATGCTGTGGCAACTCTGTGGTGAACTCCATATTTAGCTAGAAGGTTATTCAACAATCGATTACAAAAATGAGTCCCTTCATCACTGATTAAGGCACGTGGAGTCCCAAATCTCGAGAATATGTTCTTTTTCACAAAAGCAGCTACCACCATGGCATCATTCGTTGGCAAAGCAATTGCCTCCACCCATTTTGACACATAGTCAACGGCTAGCAAAATGTACTTGTTTCCTCTGGACGGTGGAAATGGCCCCATAAAATCTATCCCCCACACATCAAAAAGCTCAACTTCTAGAATGTTATTTAAAGGCACCTCATGCTTCCCTGTGATTGTTCCCCTTCTCTGCCATTGGTCACACTTCTTAACGAATGCATGGGCATACTTGAATAAAGTCGGCCAAAAGAGACCGGATTGTAGCACCTTTGCAGCTATTCTATCTCCTCCATGATGGCCCCCCATACGGTGATGCGTGACAATCATACAACACTAGTTCTACCTCTTTTTCAGGAATGCATCTCCTCATCAACTGATCAGCACATTGCTTGTACAAATATGGCTCATCCCAGTAGTAGAACACATCATGTAAAAACCTCTTTCTAGCTTTAGATTGGATTTTGGGAGGAAGTACCCCACTCACAAGATAATTTACATAGTTTGCGTACCATGGGGGAGGGTCTTGGGTTATAGCAAAAAGTTGCTCATCAGGAAATACTTCTTTAATTTGGCTACCCTCCTCCACGTGATCGTGATTTTCCAACCTTGATAGATGGTCAGCTACCTGGTTCTCTGTCCCCTTTCGATCTCGTATTTCTACATCAAATTCCTGCAGCAATAAAACCCAGCGCATCAATCTAGCCTTAGACTCCTTTTTGGTAAACAAATACCTGATAGCTGCATGATCGGTATGGACTATGACTTTTGTTCCCACCAAGTATGCCCGGAATTTCTCAAAGGCCCACACAACAGCTAACAACTCCTTCTCAGTGGTGGTGTAATTCAGTTGGGCATCATCAAGAGTCTTACTTGCATAGTAGATGGAATGAAACACCTTGTCCTTCCTCTGGCCTAACACTGCCCCGATAGCATGATCACTCGCATCACACATAAGTTCAAAAGGTAAAGACCAATCCGGTGCCACAATAATGAGAGCAGTCACCAACTTCTTTTTAAGTTCTTCAAATGCGTTGAGGCAAGCATCATCAAAGTTGAAGGTCACATCCTTTTCAAGCAACCTGCACAAAGGAGTAGCAATTTTTGAAAAATCTTTAATAAAGCGCCTATAGAAACCTGCGTGTCCCAAGAAACTCCGGACACCCTTCACTGAAATAGGTGGAGGTAATTTTTCAACCGCCTCCACCTTTGCTTTATCAACTTCAATACCGCTCCTAGATACTCTGTGACCCAGCATGATGCCTTCTTGTACCATAAAATGGCACTTTTCCCAATTTAGTACCAGATTCGTTTCTTCACAACGGGCTAGCACCTTGCTTAAATTCCTCAAGCAATCATCATAAGACGACCCAAAGACTGAAAAGTCATCCATAAACACTTCCACGAATTTCTTCACCATGTCGGTGAAAATAGCCATCATACACCTATGGAAAGTGGCTGGTGCATTACAAAGACCAAACGACATTCGCTTGAAGGCAAAAGTGTCGTAAGGACAAGTAAAAGTAGTCTTCTCCTGATCCTCTGGGCATATGACAATCTGATTGTATCCTGAATAACCATCAAGGAAGCAGTAATATTCATGCCCGGCTAACCTGTCTAGCATTTGATCGATGAATGGGAGTGCGAAGTGATCCTTGCGAGTTGCCTTATTGAGCCTTCTATAATCAATGCAGACTCTCCATCCCGTAACAGTGCGAGTGGGGATTAGCTCATTCTTCTCGTTCTCAACTACAATCATTCCTCCCTTTTTGGGCACACATTGAACCGGGCTTACCCAGTTGCTATCAGAAATAGGAAAAATGATACCTGCATCGAGCAACTTGATTACTTCCTTTTTCACAACCTCCTTCGTGATAGGATTCAATCTCCTTTGCTGCTCTACACTGGGGCGGTGTCCGTCCTCTAGAAAGATTTTATGCATGCAAAACGATGGACTAATACCCTTGATGTCAGCTATAGTCCACCCAATGGCCCTTTTATGCTCGCGGAGGACCCTGAGCAATTTTTCTTCTTGAGTGCTGGTCAAGCTGGATGAAATAATCACGGGCAGTGTCTCTGAGTTCCCCAAATAAGCATAGCGCAGATGCGCTGGAAGTGGCTTGAGTTCTAGCTTCGGAGCTTCTTCAATAGATGGCCTGGGGAGGGTCAGAGTGACAGGCCTGTCCAATTCTTCAAATTTTCTAACCCCATGTACATAACAGCAGGACATATCCAGCACTTGCTCAATTTCTCCCATCCTTTCATCATCACCATTTTCTATGTCCCCAATCAATACACGTTCAACAGGATCTGCAGGGCTCATATAAGGTACTAACGACGTGGCATCACCTTCTACCACAGAGATCATGGACAATTCTTCATAGTGGGCTGGTAACTTGAGTGCTCTATAAACGTTGAATACCTCCACTCGATCACCCACTCTCATCGTCATCTTTCCTTCACAAACATCAATAATAGCTCGGCCCGTGGCTAAGAATGGACGCCCCAAAATAATTGGGACTTCCTGATCAGGCTCATAATCAAGGATGATGAAATCAGCTGGGAAGATAAAAGACTCCACTTGCACTAGCACATCTTCAATGACTCCCTCAGGATGAGCAAGGGAGCGGTCAGCTAACTGTAAGATAACTGTTGTTGGGCGTGGTTCACCAACCCCAACTGTCTGAATATAGATAGCAGCATCAAATTGATGCTTGCTCCAAGGTCACATAGAGCTCTCCCAACAGCATGTTTACCAATCGTGATTTGGATAGTGAAACTACCTGGATCCTTCAATTTCTAAGGTAACTTGCCTTGAATTCTGGAACTGCACTCCTCAGTGAGTGCCATAGTCTCGAACTCGGCCAGCCTCCTTTTATTTGCCACAATGTCCTTGATGTACTTTGCATATTTGGGTACTTCTTGTAAGATGTCAAATGGAATATTAATTTGTACCTGCTTCAAGATATCAAGAAACTTTTTATATGTGGCATTATCTCGCAATTTCTGCAGTCTTTGAGGGAATGGAGGTGGTGGCCTTGCAACCAATTGTGGGGATTGCTCAGCCACCGCCCCTCCAGATGGCTTCTCTGACTCCTTCGCTTTCCCTGATGTGGATTCTACAATGACTGGCATCTCATTAAAAGTCACCTGTTTCCTCTTTTTAGATAGAACTTCCTCTAGCTGTCTCCCATTCCTCAATGATATGGCATTAAGGGCCGCCCTAGGATTGGCTTCAGTGTCACTTGGAAGAGCTCCAGCTGGTCTAGTGTTTTGAGCACTAGCAAGCTGTCCCATTTGACGCTCCAAATTTCTTACTGTTGTGGCGAGGGCTTGCTGTTCAGCCATCATCTTTTTAAACATGTCTTCAAGGTGACCTGTAGGACTCTCTTGTTGTTCAACCTGAGGTGGTCTATATTGCTGTTGAGGAGCTTGAGGCCTGTATTGATTCTGAGTGCCCTGGTTTCCACTCCAAGAGAAGTTTGGTTGGTTCCTCTAGTTGGGATTGTAGGTGTTCACATATTGGTTTGTGTGGACCCTATTTGAATTACCCACAAAGCAGACAGACTCTAGGTTTGCAGGGCATATATCGCTCGTGTGACCCTCTCCACATATTTCACAAAAAACTTGAACCTGTTGCACCGGTTGTGCTTGTTGCTTGTTGATACTCAAGTTCATCTGGTTGATTTGATTGGCTAGTGTAGCAATCTGCGCTGATAATGCTGAGATGACATCTAACTCAAGAACCCCTGCAGATTTATGCACTGTGTGTCTGCCCATCTCTCCTTGCCAATCCGGATTGCTCTTGGAAAATTTGTTCAACAAAGCATATATCTCGTCAAAGCTTTTCTCCAACACTTGACCCCCAGCTGCAACATCTACCACGATTGTAGTTTTAGAATGTAGCCCTTCTATGAAAGTGTGAGCTAACACTCATTCGTCTGATTGTGATGAGGACAGTCTCTGAGTAGCCCCTTGAACCTTTCCCAAGTTGAGTACAACGATTCACCTGCTTTCTATTTGAAGGCCACTATTTCACTTCTGATCTTTGCAGTTTTGCCTGAAAGAAAGAACCTTGCCAGAAATTTTCTTGCCAAATCATTCCATGATGTAATGGAGTTAGCTGGTTCTGCCTTTAGCCATCGCTTAGCCTTACCCAACAGAGAGAATGGAAAAAGTGTGAGTCTCACATAATCTGGAGTGACCCCGTTAGTGATATATGTATCACTAATCTCCAAGAAGTTCAGAATATGCTGCTGCGGATCCTCATGTGGAAGACCCATAAAATTGCCCGTTTGCATGAAGCAGCTGGATCATAATCTGTTTCAGCTGAAAGTGCCCGGTGATCCCGGGCTTCACAATACTGGAGGTGACATTAGCAATGCTGGGCATTGCCACCTCCTGAATAGCCATGGGTTGCTCCTCTGCCATGTCCACAGGAAATTGAACAAGTGGCTGAATATTATTCGTGTCCCTTACTTCCCTTAACCTCCGGTGAAATGTTCTATCAGGTTCAGGATCAAAGCCTTGAAGTCGGTCCTGGCTTCTGACCCTACGCATTCAATCAAAGTTCCTGAGATCTGAGCAACAATCAAGTAACGATTAGACTAGATAAAATAAGCAATTAAAACAAAAACTAGCAAGGTTTTAACTATTTGAGTAAATATTTTTAATTTTATAACTATTCGATTGATTTGTCTCTTAGTGTGTTTCTAGTTCTCTCAGCATGATATCTGGGGATGAAGCATATAGAGATAAGGTTATTGATGAAGACGCATGGTTGACGGAAGATTTTTATGGCCCGTATTTTTGGGCTTGTCATGACCTCACATCTTGGAAGTCTGAATTTGAATATGGGAGTAAGGGTTGGTATTGTGATGAACATTATCGATTAAGAGAATATGCGCAACGACGTTGTTTGCTAACAACGTTGTTAAATGATTGGTCTAAGGAGAGAGTTGATCTTGCACAAGAAATTGACAGGTTTAGCTTGGCTGTGCGGAACTTGGATGCATATATGAGTGCAAAGGTTGATGCATGTAGCGCCCAACAATTTAGTGATAAGTTGTGTGAAGTTGAAAAAGATCTTTTAGACCAAATTGAGGAGCTAAAACGAGAATACTCAATTATTAGACCAAAATATTATTAATGATACCAAGGTTGACGAAGAGTGCAAAATTGAGGATGTCAAAAATAATGCAATTTTGGAGTTGTAGCATATTGGACCTCATTCTAAACACTTTTCAACATTGTGTTTGGTTGGTGACATGGGAATTGATCCAGTCGAGCATATGGAGGAGTCAATGGATGAGGAACAAAGTGCTTATATTCTTAAATTTGTGATGTCAAGGAGACAAAACGACATTCCTCACTTATAGGTCAAGAAGTGCAAGATGCGATACCTATTACTTGGTTTCTTTATTTTTACACCACCGCCCCGGGAACGTGACAGAAAAATTGATGCGAAATTGGGGGCGCAATTCATATCTTCAAAGTGGAAGGAAATGTGGTGAAAGTGATGGCGTCGTGCCGCGACGTTAAATCAAGCGCTTGTTGGGAGGCAACCCAATTTTATTTTTCTTTTTTACTTTTGCTTATTTTTTTTCTTGTTGTGTTAGTTTCTGTAGTGTTGTTTTTTGTTTTTTGTAGGAGTACGAGCATGGAATCAAAGCCAACAGGCATGTGTAAAAACGAGCAGCTGGTTGAAACTAAGTGTGAGGTACCCGCACAAGGATCATACCTGGGAGAAGTCTGAGTATCTCGTGAGCTGCTAATTCGGCCTTTGGCTTACCAGGGAGTCTCTTTTACCCTCTTTTTAATTTCAGTGTGCATTGAGGACATTACACAATTTTAAGTGTGGGGTGAGGAGATTGTCGGGTTATTTCCTGTGCTATCTTAGCTTAGTTAGTGTAGTAGTTTTTAAAAAATGAAAAAAAAATTAGAAAATTGGGACTTTTCCTGATGATGGATTTTGTGGACAACTTTCTTGAGGGGTTAAAGTCCAATAATTAAAAAAAAAATTCAAAAATATTTTCTTTTTGTTCTTGTTAGTTTTAGTTAGGTAATAATCCCTCTTGGTTTTTCTTTGTGCATCGGTTCTTTTCCAAGGGATGTAACTTGAACCGGGTAATTTTATTTTATTTTTAGGATTAGATTTTTTTTCTTTATTGTAGGAGTAGAAAAAGAGGGGGAAGAAAAAATTTTGTGACTTGTTTGATACTAGCATATTGAGGCCTATGCTTGAGTAGTACTTTCCTCTGAGTGCTTGAGTAATGAATAAAATAGCAGATTTTCTGACACCTAAGCTCAGGGTTCTGACTCTGTATATATCTTATTCTTATTTTGTTGTTCGCTATGACCCTGTCTGTCTTAGAGTAGAATTGATCCATCTTGATTGATACTTGTGCCATGTGAGGTGAGGATTTCTTACATATATTTCATGTTTTACATCTTAGTCTAGAACTTGCCCTGCATGTTATTGAAGCGAAATAAAAGTGTTGCGCTTTTTAGAAGATGATAATAGGCTTTCTTTGATATGTCTTGTGAATTTTAGCCTTTTCAGATATTGTACCACTAGTTAGCCCTTTAAGCCAGTAGCCTTTTGTTCGGAAGCTGTATTTTTGCCTTGATCCTTTTGTTTGAATCCCTAGTATTTGCACCATGCTTCCTTGAGCACTGTTGTTTAGACTGTGATACTAATTGATAAATTTGAAGAATGGGATGGTTAAGTGAAAAATGGTGATCAATGATGGCTGATAGGCGATGAAAAGGCTTCTTGAAAAGAATGTGACATGAAAAAGAAAGAAAAAAAAAGAGAATTAAAATAAATAAATAAAAAATCCTTATGAAAAAAAAATGAAATATTCTTGATATGAGGGAAATACTTGTGAAACAATAGATGAAGAGAGGGCTGAAAAATAAAACTGAACAGAAAAAAATAATGGGTGATGGAGTCTAAAAGTGCAAAGTGCTTAGGGAAGTGTAAGTCACTATCATATAGTTTTCTTACCCGTCCCTTAGCCAACATTACAACCCGTTAAAGTCCTATTTGGTTCTAGTAGAACATACTTAATTAGTAGAGATGTACATAATGGGCAAGCCTATGGTTCTTTGTGCATACATGTGAATTTCTTTGTGAGTGCGAGAGTTGTTCTTTGATGCAAAGTCCTTAAATTACATTCATTCTTTGATTTGAGTGTATGGACTATTCATTCTTGTGAGGGCACAGGTTTCATGATAGATATGTGATGTTATTAGCTTTATCTGACAGAGTAGGTGAGCGAGCTTAAATTTGGTGAGTTAGACTCTCTCTCTAAGGTTAGGAGGTGAGAAGTTTGTTGTTTGTTGTTTGTTTGTGACTTGTATATCTTGCACGATGATGAGGAAGTGTATATCTGATGGTTTGAGTTGCAATAGGGCCTAATTGTTAGTATCTGCCGAAGTGGTGGTGTTTCTAGGCTTGATTTATTGAGAGTGATTTTAATGCTTACTCGAGGACGAGCAAGAGTCTAAGTGTGGGGTGTTGATGTTCGGCCAAAAATGCATGTATTTACCCATTGTTGCCTCATATTCTAGTACTTTTAATCGTCTTTTGAGTATTAGTTATATTGTTTTGTGCTTAATATTATATTTTAATTGTGTAGGAATAAAGCGATATGAGGATGAAGAGATTTGAAGCAAAATTGGATAAAACGCGGAAGAACAAGAAAGAAAATTTAAAATAATAAAAAAATAGGGGGACACCCTTTGGGTTTTGTCCCCCCAGGTGGAGACAACCAAGGAATTTTACAATTCAAAAAAGAGGAAGTTACAATTGAAAGAAAATTTGAAAAAGAAACGTCAAAGAAAAGCGTACTATTTTCAGCGCCAGGTCCAGCGCTAGGCGCTGGCCTGGACGCTGTGTTGTGGGTACTCTCCTATTTTGTTCAGGACAAGGTTATTTCAGCCCTACATGGTCTCAACTCGTATATAAGGGGTTCTTAACCTAATCTGGAGGATATCTAACATATTTTGAAGGGGATCTAACATACTTTGGAGGAGAATTCACGTGGGGCAACACACACCACGCTTGGAGGAGGCTTCGAACTAGTTTTTCTTCTCTTCTCTTCCTTTAATTTCATAGTTTATTAGTTCTAGAGTTTTGGGTGCTACATGAACGTTGTAGTTTGAAGCTTGAATTATTCTTATTATTTTATCATATTAGTTTATTTATTCAATCTTGCGCTTAATTATTTGATTGCTTGATCACCAATTGAATACTATCTACGAATCTGGATAGAACTCGGGAGAGGGATTTCTAGATTGCATATAAGATTGAGTAGAGCAAGATCTTAACTCTTAGGGGGAGCAGATTCGCCTTGCTTGGTTATTATACGGGAATTATAAATGCGTTCTTGTTAATCCTAATTCCATAGGAATATAGGCGTTATGTTAGCTTGAATAGGTGAGTTGTACTTCGGGAGAAGGCTACGAGCAATATTAACCTTGTCAACCAATAAACCAGGTAAATTAATTAGAAGATTTAAGTGGAAAACTCAACGGGATTGTTAGCTAACCCATAGCTCTAGAATATTCACTCACATTGAATTCGTCTCTATAATTCACCAACTTGTTTTCTTTAATCTCTTCGTTTACTACTCTAGATTATCTTTAGTTAAATATTTATACTTTAGGATTCGCTTGAATAGATTAGTTGTTTGGTTTAATTAAGTTGATAGTTAATCACAAGTCCCTGTGGGTACGATATCTGGACTTACAATCCTATATTACTTGTCGACCACGTATACTTGCGTGTGCGTTGGGAGCAACATTACCGCCCCGTTTTCCCCATTTTATACTTCTTCATGTTTCATTATCGGTATTTGGTGTGTTAGAGTTTATTTTGGATTGGTTTTGGTAGGAAATGAGACACTTAGTCTCTTTAAGGAAGGTTTGGTTTGGAAAAGCCAACCGAAGGTTGACTTATGAGTTATAAGGCTCGGATGCGATTTCCGGTAATTCGGTTAGCTACAAGGGTTGGTTTGTGACTTAGGAGTGTGATCGGAATTGATTTTGGAGGTCCGGTATGGAATTAGGCTTGAATTGGCGAAGTTAGTATTTTGGCGAATTCCAGTTGATAGGTGAGATTTTGATCTGAGGGTCGAAATGGGATTCCGGGAGTTGCTGTAGCTTCGTTAGGTGATTTTGGATATGTGTGCAAAATTTCAGGTCATTCGGAGGTGTTTTGGTCGGGTTTTTGATCGAATGCGTATTTCGGAAGTTTTGGAAGAACTTAGGCTTGAGTTCGATGAGAATTGATGATTTTAGTGTTGTTGGATGTGTTTTTACGATTGGAACAAGTTTGAATAACGTTGTAGGATGCATTGGTATTTTTGGTTGAGGTCCCGGGGGCCCCGGGGTGAGTTCAGATGGTTAAACGGAGAGTTTTGGAA